ATGGTAAGTGTCTGGATGTTTTATAGAGTTACCAGAGCTTTTCTTATGATAAAGAGGATAAGAATAATTTTGAAGTATAAGATTAACATACATCCAGGGAAAAGATTGACTTTGTAATAAAGTAATAATATAGTTTGAGACTGTTAGTTATACATGCATATGCTTGTATATATTTATATATGTACAAATCAATATATAATAAGCATGTATTATAAGATATATTTAAAATCTGTTCCTAATTAGTAGAAACATATGATGTTTTATAATTTAGAAAGAATAAGATTCATTGTGAAATGGTTTGGAATATTAGTATTGATAGCTGTACTTCCTATTTTTATCAAATGGAGCTAGCAGTTCAGTATGTAGTATGACACATGCCATGAACTCATGTCTGTGCAATTGCAGTCTATGGAAACAAGTCATACAGTGTTTAGTTTTGCACTATACCACCTTTTGGGGTAAAGTAGAAATACCTAGTTGAATAGATTGCATTATGGCTTCTTCAGGGACTACGGGTATCAGTGGGCCTCAGTGACAACACTATAGAAACCCTCACTCTTATTGTCTTCATTTCAATCTGTTTACCACAGGACCCAGTCCTCGGAAATATTTCCTCAACATCTTGAAGTTACCAAAAGCTGTTTCTTGAGTTCCAAAATAAAACCATGCACTCTAATAAATGCTTTGTATGACATAAAATTAAAACCCTATTTTTAATTTTAGTTCAGTTTTAGTTTAATTTTAGTCTAGCTTAATTTTAGTTTATCACATATGTTCAAGAATCTTTGAATCTGTACCTAGAATGAGACTGGTACCCCAAGTATAAAAGAAAAAGGCACAGACAATAAAAGGGAGGTAAGATAAAATTACTTCATCTCAAGTGTTGAAGGATCCTGAGAAGTATATTGAATTTCCTGGCATTCTGAAAGGTAAAAAAACAATTGCTATAAGGGTAACCCAGCAATTAGTTTGTATAATCTGAAAGTGCATGTTAATTTCAGTTTCTAGGAAGTAGTGACATTTTGACATCCCTAAACCTTGAACTTCATTTCTATAATAAATTAGTCTAATACAGAGCTAGGGAAATTATTTTAAGGTTGCATTTCATTCCATCTCATAGTATTTGATAAATAAAGCAGGTTAAGTTTTCATAATGTTCCTAACTTTGTCTAAGCATGTTCGCATCTAATATTCCATCATGCATCCTTTTAAGGCATAGATAAAAATCACAATCCCATTCGATTCATGAGAGAACTGAGACCCAATGAGATGAAGTGATTTTCCAAAGAACCACAGGGTAGTAAGTGCTAAGACCATGGCAAGAAAGCCAGGCTTATGATTTATAAGTTGCATCTACTTAGAAATTAGACAATGAATATTTGAGTTACAAATAAAGGGTAGAAAAGGCCACATGAATGGAATGATTTGAGAGACTTGAATATTTTCTCAATAACCTTCCACAGTGCCTGAATGCCTCACTGTTCCAGTTAACACACTATCCCCAGAAAGTCCCTAGTTGAATGCAAATACCCAGGGTTTCTGATGTACCTCAAATCAATGTACACAATACCTTTTTTCCTACCACACTTTTCCCACACATGAGTGCCCTGCAGCTGGTGCAGTGGGAACCACAATGAAGATGATGGGTCTTTTAGAAATTCTATGGTGGCAAAAGTTAAACGTGAAAAAGGTGTCCAAATCATGAGCTTTATAGACAAAATGATCGAGAGGCAAATGTCTGGATTGGTATGATCTGCCCATGTGTTGACTGAAAAATAAATTCTTATGTATTACCTAAACATTTTTTATTTCAGTTTATTACATTGTATGAAGGTTCTACAAATTCATGATTTGTTTGTGTAACAACTATTCTAACCATTCTCACCCTTTGAGAGTTTAAGGAATTAACAGTCATGTCACTTCCATGAATCAGTGGGAATCAGTGCTCTCAGACTGTGTCCTGTTAACAAAGCTGAGATCTGCTGTTCTAGGGGACCGATGGTTCTGACCAGGAGAGGGGCAGCCATGAGGGGAGTGGGGATACCACATAAAAATACATGTTCAAGATTTTTAAAAATTTGTTTTCTGTGAACTTAGAAATATGTGAACTCTTCAGAACATTATTTCTACAGATAATTCTCTAAACAAAATTCCTTGATAGGGTGTATATTTGCTTGTGTATTATACAGAATGGGTAACATATTGATAACCTCATTACATTATAGTCCACAGCACTCAGAACTTTAGCCTAGAAAACTTGTAACAATTGACAAGAGTGAGCAAAATCTACAGATGGGGCACTTTCTAAAAATCCTACATTCTCAGGGACACTAAACTGTGGGCTCCTGAAGGCTTTGGAGTAGGAATACAGTCTAGGAAAATATACTAGAATATATACTAGAATAACACAAAGAGATGCAGAAGGCACTAAAGCAATATATATATATATATATAAGGCCATCCTTGACAAAGAATAATTTTCATGACAAACAGACGTAAGAGCTCTCAGATACTATTCCTGGCCTCCATTTTCAATTTTGATTTCATAAATTCAGAACGCATGCCCGCAGGAAAGTGCTGCTGTCTTTATTTCAAGGCAGCATGTGAACAAAGTGAGAAACCTCACAAACACCATCACACCGTAAAGGAGCGGAACACAACTTTACCAGTTTCATTTTGAGAGTCTTCTTGTGTGTGTGTGTGTGTGTGTATGTGTGTTGAGACTAGAACAAACCTCTGTTTGTCCAAACATCATCTGAAAAGACAACTTTAAAAGGATGTATCCGCATCTTTTAAATGAAATCATATGTCCCACATTCAGTCAATCTTTGATCATCCATAGTGGACTTAAGTTTCAGCCTGTCTTTGTTAGCCAGTGAGCACCTAAGTTGCCTTATCCTGGTAGCTATGCATTTAATCCTAACTTTAATTATGACCCCAAATATCTTAGAAATACAAAGGTTAATTTTCCTTAATAAAGTACTTGCTTTAGACACAAATATATGAATTATATCTCTGCTCTAAGTCTTTATATACGTGTACACACACACACGTATAGTAGATAGTTTACTATACTGAAGCAAACTTGATGGTAAACGTGTCTAACTTTTGGAGTTCATGGCTGTACCATATCCATTTACAGTATCCTGCAAAGAATAGATGAAAGAAGATGACTAATGTTTTAAGAATCTTATTTTTAATCCTAAGTAAAATTTCAACTGGATATATATCATTTAGGTACTTTCAAAGGTGACTGGTACACACAATTTGTTGGCAGATAGGTGTGTCTTTTAAAATCAAGAAATCCTGGGGATGATATTTCTCATTATATTTAATGTGCTATAAGCACATTTTCATACAGGAATTTCTTAGTGTCTCAGCTTGCTTGGCTTGAGAACCCAGGTGTCCAAAATTATAACTGACAATAGAAACACAATGTCAGAGATTCATTCTCCCCTCTGCCTTACTGTTCCATTTAAAAACTGTTGTATTACATTTCTGCTAATAAAAGCCTTTCTAAGGATTCTGTATCACTCTTCTGCAAGGCGCATTCACATCCTTCAATGAAAGTTGCTATTATCAGAGCAATGTGCTCTTACTATTTATTTATTACAACAGCCCTCATGACTGCTTACCCAGGCAAGCACTAGAAATATCTAACTCATTACCACTACATAAAATAGCATGGGGTATTTTCAGAATGAAAGAGATCAGAGCCTGACAAATTCTAAAGCTGCTCATGTCCCTGTTTCTAAAGAAAAGGATTGCTGTTCAACAAGCACTGGAAACTTTAACTATCGAAGCAGATATATTAGAATCTCAGTGAAAATATTGCCCAGACAAAATCTTGTTGGAAATACCAATTTGCTACCATTTTTCATGTAAGGCCTGAACACCCTTGGACGTTCTCAGGCCAGCTGATGAAAGAAAACTGACCCAGATGGAGTCAGAAACTGAAAATGCCTACTGACTTACTCAGATGGAAGTTGATCCTGGTTGCTATTTAAATCGATGGTTGTAAGTGTCAGCAGACATACTGCATTCCTTGTGATGGTTCAGAGGGTAGACATTCAGGTCAAAATATTCTTACCCATTCTGAACCTAATGTGGACTTTACAATGTTTACAAACAGCTGTTACAATAACCAAAAATCCAAAGAAAAATGTGACACATTTAAGAATGTGACAATTAAAGCCGAGCATTTGTTCAGAGCGCACCTGGTGGCTTGAGGCACTGAAACCCGTGATGCTGAGGTGTCTGTCACGCTGAGAGCAGCTGTGTCCATGAGAGTGGAGGTGACTGCTCTCTCACACACCCAGATACTACTCTGGACCCAGGTCTATGCTTTAGCTACCTTGGCAGCCGCACAGCGGTAACAACTGGAGCCATGATGGCGATGTCAATCAGGGACAATTTTGGATAAAGCAGGAGCCCTGAATTTCAATATAGGAGGACAGGAAGAGAGCATAGAACACTGAGAAGACGGTGTCTACGGCACTGCTCCTCGGTGTATACTGAGACTCCTACACTGAGACTCTAGGGTTGTCATTAACAGTTGAGTTTTATAAGTCCAACAACTTTCCAGTGGCTGTCCTTGTGTGGAAAAACAATTTCAGGGGAATGGATTGTGACAAGTAGGGGACTATTTTTTGAGAGTTAAACTATTCATTGCTTTTGACCACATTAATCAGTGTTTTATGTAATCATTTTGTAGTGAGTTTCCACACAATCATTCTGATGAAAGGGATTATGAACAATGAGAATAGATCAGATCAATCATTAGCCTTCCCGCTGATTGGTTTGTGTCTTGTGATTGGCCACTAGCATCTCTTCTTTTGGTTGCATGGTAAAATGACATTTCTCTGCCCTTATGACATGAAACACATTTTTGTCCTCATGACTTGTTCTGGTTAGTGAAATGTGAAGAGTGGCAAATGTCACTTCATGATGGAAACTTTAAAAGAAAAGTTCAATTTGCTGTTGTTCCCTTCTACTTTCAGGGCACCCAGCAGCTTCCCAGATGGTGGAGGCATCATCTGCCTGGAGTGGGAAGATGTGCAGGAGCGCTCCCAGTTGTCCTGTGATGAACATGCCACATGAACAAGGTGCACACTTTTGTTGTGCTGATCTAATGCAGTTTTGGAGCTGTTATCTTAGTGTAACCTAGCCTGTCCTGATTACAGTGTGATTTGGAGAAATTTAAAGAACAGCATTCTTTATTGAAATATATTGGTCATAGAACATTGTGTAAATTTGGGGTTCAATTAAAAATAAACAAACAAATAATTAACACATGTGGGAAAAAAAAGAGCACCGTTCTTTATCTTTTTGCAGACTCAGAGGCTATAATGCTTCAACTCTCTTTGCCAGAATACAATGGACTGTTTTTGCCTTGGCTGGTGATAAGGTCATGAATTTATGGTCAAACTATGTTTTTTCTGACAGAAACTTAAATGTACATTTGGCCAAACCAGTAAACTGGCTTAGTGCCTGAACTAACCAGAAACAACCTCTTTGACTGTTGTCTTGTAAATTAAGCCAAAGTTTTATGAGATAATATTCATCATCAGCCAGATCCCTTTCATTTTCCTTTTTGTCAGCTTTTTCCTTTCATACACTTCACACCCTGCAGCCACTTTCTCTCTCCTTTACCTGTGTGGTATTCACCTAACAACAAGAGAAAGTGAGTATTTTTACTTTATACAACAGATTCTGGCAAAATATTTGTGTTTCTATTTCCACAGTAATTTAAATTGTTTCTCCTGTTAAGTGGAAAACAAAGTTAGATGTTGGTCCTATGGAATCTTTGCTAAGTGATGTTATTTCCATTATGTGTTTTTGGGCTCCAAATAATATTTGGACCCTTTGTAATATAGGAACTAGAACACATGTAATTTTAAAGCAGTCTTACCGTGTTTTTGTGTTAATTTCTGAGATCAGCCCAGTTCAACAGCTTGAGTGGTGTTTCTGTGAGCATAGCTAAATGAATACTAAACAAGGTATGTGTGTGTGTGTGTGCATGCATGTGCACATACATGTTCGTGTACTTAAAGCAAAATAAAAGACCTGTAACAGTTAAAAATGGACACTTACCAATTTTTAAATTACGACAAGTAATACCATTAAATTTGTTCCTACTCTTTCTCCAGAATTACTACAATAAAACTCCACACTTATGGACTTACTTAACAGAAGGCCATGATTACTTCTGGAAATATCTAAATAGAGACAAAATTTATTCTTTATATTATTGACCAGTAGTAAACTCTTTTTCTTAAGCCACAGAAAGGAAATTTCTAAAATTTTATGAGGCATTATGGTATGGTATAAGTTGTTCAAAAAGTTATTTTTTGCATTTGCAAATATCAATGTTTCTTTATAGTGGTTTTGCACAAGATTTACTATTTGTCAGTTCCATCTACATTGTATGTGCCAATAAGGAGTCTCTACAAAAAATTTTAAAGGTAATAAACATTCATTATTATACAGGATTAATATAATTGTCTAGATACAAGAGAGTATCTCCCAAAGTTAAACCTATGTATTCATTTCAAATTTGCCTTATTTTTATGATTTATTTTTATTTATTTTTTGCAATGGTAACAAATATCTCATTTTAAAATAATTTAAATTCATTTTTTGTTGTCAAAATATTGAGAGAGAAGTTCAGTGATCATTTTGTTAAATAATAAAATTTCCCCGTTACCTAAATCAGTTTAGTTATAAGATTTATTCAACCGTGACAGTATCACAACTCTGAAAATTATTTTTACAGATCACATTCTACATTCATAATGTCTTCTCTGTAAATCCATGGGTGGGGATTGTATATGTGATTTAAGTGAGATTTGTTAATGAAATAGTAATTTTGATATCTCTTTAGTAGAACTCATGGTAGTATGGCTCTCACTTGATAGGGGATTTTTTTAAAGAAAACTCCCCTATCAGAGTTGCCCACACACATCTTTTAAATATGAAAATCCACTTTGCACTGATCAGAGTCTTTACGAAGAAGATTGTTGACTTCAATACTAAAAATATCCCGAAGAATTTCTAATGATTCCATAAAATTCCTGAGCAATCATTTCCCTGTGATTAAACTGATCACGTGCCATCAGATAGTCCAGGATGAACTAGGCAGAGGTGGAGGCCTGTACATTTTCTGAGCACCCACTATAGGCCCAAACCTCTTTTGGGCTCTTTACATGTATTATCATGTTTAGTATTCATAATCAGTCCATGATGAAGCAATTATTATCCCCTGATTACAGAGGAGGAGGCTGAAGCTCAAGGAGGTTGGTAATTGACAAGGCCCATATACCTGGTAAGAAGTGAAATAAGAATTTATAATTTGGGTCTTTTTATTTTAATGTCTGTATTATCCCATTATACTGTGTTGCTTTGCAGAGAGTGCAATTGCTGCTTCACTAATTTAGGACTTATTTTTAAATGGATTGTCAGTAAGTAGCTGGCCAATTATTTACTTCCTATGACATTAACTTAAAATATACAGAAGATGTATGGTGCAAATTTTTCATCCATCTATACTCATTGAGAATTTGACACGCTAAACTGAAAAGAATTACGGAACAGTACTTCATTAATGGGAATGGGTCAAAAAATGTACAAAAAATGCTTTACACGTGCAGCTTGTAGCTTAAGTCATATTTAGGGAGGACTGGACTGGCCCTCAGAGCCAGATGTTTCTATTCCCTGATCTCTCTTCCCAACCTGCTTTCTTCTTATTTTTTTTTAATGATTTGGTATATTAGAGATGAACCAGTTCCTTGATTTCTACCAATTTATCCAGGATTTGGAAAACTTGAGTTAGAACTATAATTTGCTCTCTCTCTGTCAACTGAAGTGAAACCATAAATATATGGGCATTTTATCTCCTATCTATACAGAGTTCTGCGGCTTTGAACCAGCTTCCTTCCCAAATAAGACCCAGGACATGTCTCTCATTCTAGCTTTATGTTTCTCAGAAGATGCTGTGCTTTTTCTTCTCAAACATATGAAATCTTTTGGTCTTTTTCTGCTTATGCTTATAATTCTGACTTTGGCATTCACATTTTCTAAATTTTAAAGAAAGACCTTTCCACCATACTTTGTTCCTCATTTAAGATTTGTTGCAAAATTCTAATTAACAGATTGAACAACAAAAGAACCCCACTGAACACCCACTAGATTTCTTTTTGAAGGGGGAAAACATTCTATAAAAAAACACTGAACACTGTAAGACACACACTGATGAACACCTACTGATGAATTCATCACCACCTAAATTCAGTTCCTTCTTCCCCACCACATTGCCTCAACCCCATTCACACACACACAGCCCTCATCAGACCAGTTTTAATAACATATACAACAAAATATACACTGTTAAAAGAGGGTATGTGTAACTGGAAATACTGGTTTGTGTTTCCAACAGGTGAAATCATTTATCTGATATCTAACGTCTGTTTGTTGTATCAAACTAGGCACCTTGCTCTGTTTGTGCCATCATAATTAAAGGATCATTTAAAAATATATTTTGTTTCTAGAAATTATAAAAAAATGTAACTTACTACAATTTTTTATTGTGGTCTTTTAAAAGAAACAGATTTTTTTCCAGCAAGTTAAGTGGTAACAATGGGAGTTACACCAAAAGCATTCTAAGAAAAGATTGATGATGATCTATAGAGAACAGCAATGTTGAGCAAAGTTCTTCTTTTAACATGAAGTATATGACAGGTAGAGTTCAGCCATTTTGTATGTAAGTTCTAGAAGCCATCACTTTGAGTTATACTTAGTATAGGTGTAGACATACAGTAGAGCTGTAAAGAATGAAGAAACGCTTGCTTATCCTCAATTTCTTAGTTTCAGGAAGAAAAAATGCCTAGTGATTTTTATATAAGCAAAGTTTAGTCCATAAAGAGAAGGAATATCTTATCTTCTATTCATTTAACAGGTTTTAGCAGTTTTCTGAATACTTATGAGTAGCTCAGAAATTCATATAAGTTCATGTAATTCACACAGCATCTGTTGTGAAAAAATAAAGTGATAATTTACATCCAATTAAAATATTTTTCATTAGATAAAATGCTTTAATAAACTAACAAAGTTATATAAGAAAAGTATTCATTGGAAATAAAACAAGTCATTTTCTACAGAGCAGGCAAAAAAGTCAAAAATTGGTCAACTGGAAAAGGAGTAAGAGTCAAAGTCGTTTATGTAAAATTTTAATCCATTGAACACTTTTTTAAAAACTGCATTCTTAATGCCTTACAATTTATGTAAGTTGTTTGAAGGCATATCTTCTCATTGGGGGCATTCTTATTAAACTGCTACAAATATATCTCTACCAACTCCTTGAATCTACTATAGAAGTGTAAACTTCAGGAGTGCTTCTTACACATAATCACCTTTCTGTCTTTTAAATATTTGCCAGTTATAGCACATGGGAATATATGCAACCATAGCTTAAAAGGAAGCTAAAGGTTTTTTTTTATTAATTTCTTTTTTCTGATACAAGAATTCTTTATATTTAAAATAAGCTTATATCCAATTTGGCAGACAATTATGTAAATGAATTCTTTTAGGGCAGATTCCAATGGTAAAACATAAAATAAACTTAAGAAAAAAAGGGGAGTCATGTACAGAGAAAGTTGGTGAGTCTTGCTATTTTTTTGTACTTTAAATATTTTTAGGCCTCTTTACCACTGCTGTTGGGTCATCTCTCTTAGCTATACTAGAGAGCCTTTGTCAGTCTGGAGGAGGCGGCCATGTGTCCATGAATGCTTATTTAGTATGGTGAGGACAGATGGCCTGGAATTGCTGAAGAAGACCTTAAGATATATTTAAAAGAGGAAAGGGAAAGAAACAATCAGGGAGGAAATAAATTAGAGAAGAGGCAAATGTATAGCCAGGGAAATTATGCGTGTGTGTGCGTGCGCGCGCGCGCACACACACACACACACACACACACACACACACACACTTACACAAACTAAAAAGTAAGTAGGACCTGATTTTTTCAGATTTGCTTTTTCTGTAGAAACTTCAATTTTCATTTTGTTAGTTAGTTTGTTGTCTTTTTAGCAGAAATCTGCTAATCACAGTCTAGGCTGATCTGATCTTAGCCTGGTCTGGTTGATAAATAATGTACCTTTTGCTTTGTATAGCACCCAATTAGAAGTTTGAATTTTGATTCATAAAAGTTCAAGAGATTTACTTAAATCAAACTGAATTAAATTGAAATCCCAGATGCCCTAAGAGTCTATGCTTTAACACAATTTGTCTTGTTTATCATTTTATTGCATTTTTCCCCATTATTTTAAGAAAACATACACACTATTGTCCAATCAAAACCTCACCAAGGGATGTTTCATGTGTATTAGGAATCCCACACCCTGTAAGAAGTGAACAGGGAGAATGGATGGGCATGGGGGCGTTAGTGGATAATACTGCATTAATAGAAAGAATTTGTGAGATGCTGTGAGATGATAAAAAAGTGACATTAATGGACTTTTTTATTATGGATTTTTTTCTTTCCAAGTTATCAAATGAACATTTTCCCATTTCCTTCAAATTTATTCTATTTCCACCATCTCTGACTATGCCAGGTAACAAAGGACTGTTGCTTTAATTGCCAGGTTTTCTATTGCTCGTAAAACAAATACTAGATTCCAAATTTCTTCTTATTGCCTTCTGAGTTGTCATGGTTATCAAATGACACCATCTCTAAATTCTGTCTTTTCCATGCTTAGTATAAACAAGCTGCTTAAAAATCAAGAGAGAGAAAAAAAAAAAGCCCTATCAAGTTTGGGTGCTGTAAGAAGCAAGAAACACAAGAAAGAAAGACTTTGTTAATCACAAACTGTAATTGGAAAGATTTGATTCAGAAGCATTAAATGTCATTAAATATAAGAAGTCTAAAAAAATACCTGCTTTCTACATTGGTTCTCTGAACCAGCTCCTGGTGAGTTGCAGCCTGCTGAGTGTGTCACTCCTGCCTTGTGGTTAGAGCTCTTCTACAACCCCCACACACCCACCAACCACCACCGCCACCGACACAGGCAGCAAGGACACTGGGTCATTCTAAAGTAAATACAAGGAATATTTTTTTGGAAACAAGCACCTTTAAAAATAGAAAGGCAAGAAGATTCATAAACAGAGCCTTTGAAAATGTACAATACTTTTGTCTTACAAAAACATCTGTTGCTCAGTTGAGTATTTGGAACACCGAGTGCTTCAGTTACCCTTCAGGAGGTGTGTTGGCTGGTGGCTTTCAGTGGAGTTGGCTCCAGGGGAGGTCAGCCTGACTCCCAAGCCTGTTGGCTCAGCGATTTCCCAGTGGTCAGCCCGTCTTACCATAATCATATGCTGACACCCCAAGCCTGTTTCTTAACTGTGCTCTGTACCTTCTAATGAAAGTATCCCAAAATATCTCCAACCGCCCAAATTCTGGGCAGCCATGACCTCAAACTGGACTGCTGGACACACTGCCTTTGCTCAGACTGAAAGGCAGATAAAGAGCTCCCTGCCTTGAAGACTCAAGTTCTCACTCTCTCTCTACTAGGTTTGTCACTTATAGCTTCTGATTACTTGCATGAATTCCCAGAATCTTTGACATGAGCCCGATGAGGAAGCTCTAACCCAACACACACCACCACCATTTCCTGGAACTTGGAGGCTTTACAATAAAGAAA